TAATTTCTGCCTGACTGGATCTAAATTCTGCAGTCATGAAGTCTCTTGAGTCCTTTATTCTTTTTTCTAGAGCCACCAGTAGCTGTATAATAGTGCTTCTGAATTGGCTTTCTGACATTGAATTGTAATCCAGATTTTGTAACTCTGTGGGAGAGAGGGCTGTTTCTGATTCTTTCTTTTGAGGTGAGGTTTTCCTTCTAGTCATTTTGCTCAGTGCAGAATGGCGAAAAACAAGTTGTATTGGGAAAAGGAGAAAAAGAGAGAGAAAGAAGGAAAGAAAAGAGAAAAAGAAAGAGAAAAAAGGAAGAAAAAAAAGAGAAGAAAAAGAGAAAGAAAAAGAAAGAAAGGGAAAAATTGGTGGGGGAATCAAACAGAAATCAAAAAGCAAAAAAAAAAAAAAAAACACGGGGGAGTATCTTCTGATTCTGTAGACTTTAAGTCCCTTGACTTCCCCTGGAATTGGTCTGTCTAGGTGGTCTTCTGGGGGAGGGGCCTGCTGTGCTGATTTTCAGGTGTTAGCACCTGGGAGAGCTGCTCTGCCCCCTGCCTGCTGCAGGGCTCAGCGGGGGTTGTTTACCCCGTGAGGCCCCAGGAGGAACAACCACGGTGGCGGCAGCAGCTCTGGAAACCTGGATTCAGCTCCCGCAGGAACTCCAGAGCTCTCGGCTGCAGGGGCCTGGAGGCTCCGGGGCGGGGCCGCTGATGTGCTCAGCTCGGGGCAGGAGCGTCCTCGCTGTCCTGGGCCCTCCCGGCCTCTGCCTGTCCCGCGGGGAGGCCGGATCCTGGGCTGTGTCCTGGCGCCCTGTGCTGCGGGGCCTGCGCCGTGGGATTCGCGCTCCAGGTGGCTCAGCCCCCTCCGTGGAGCAGCCGCCGCCCCGAGCCCCTCAGAGCTGCTCCGGGTCCCGCCGTGCGCGCTGCAGCCCTTAGGGAGCTCGGCGCACTCTCCTGGGCGCGCAGGTGTCTGTTAGTGTCCCATTGAGCCTGAGGGCATCCCCGCCCTCCTGGGTCCTGCTCCAATTCCCTGTGAGGCCTTTCCGCCCGGGAAGGTTGGTGCAGCTCCTGCTTCTCCGGGACGGGGCTCTCCAGTCCTGGGGACACTCGCCCCAGCCTCAGCCCGGCTCCTCGCGGGGCCCCTCCCCCTCGGAGGTCTTTTGTTTCTTTATTTCTTTTTCCCCGTCTTCCTACCTTGATAGAAGCGCGAACTCTTCTCACTGTAGCATTCCAGCTGTTCACTCTTTAAATCTCAGGCCGAATTCGTAGATTTTCAGGATGTTTTGAAGGTTATCTTGGTAATTGGTGGAGACAGGTGATTTGGGGACCCTACTCTTCAGCCATCTTGCCCCTCAGTTATTTACTTTTCTATATTACCCACAACTCCAACAGTAAGTAGTACAAAAAAGGAGGATAATTACACAATTGTCTTTTGGTTCAATTTCCTTTATATCTATCCATAATGTGTTACACAGTAGGTGCTTCGTAAGTGGTACTGGCAGGCCTCCCTTGGCCCACTTCCTTTTTTGGAATTCTAGGTAACCTAGTTTACCATACCAGACTTGATGCCCCATTAATTTGATAAACAATACTGGTGCCTATATGTAATAGGTACTGTGCTAGTTCCTTGGAGTACCCAAGTGGAAAGGGTGTGATTCTTATTTTAAAAAATATTTATTTATTCATGAGACATACAGAGAGACAGACACATAGGCAGAGGGAGAAGCAGGCTCCATGCAGGGAGCCCGATGTGGGACTTGATCCCAGGGACTCCAGGATCATGCCCCAGGCTGAAGGCAGGCGTTAAACTGCTGAGCCACCCCAGCATCCCAAGGGTATGGTTCTTACCATCAGGGAGCTCATAGTTTATAGATGAGAAAGCATGTGAAAAAAGAAAACTACAATGTGGTATGTGATATCATTGAGACATGCTCAGGGTACTGTTAAAGCATAAAAATAGTCTGTTTTGAGTGAGTTGTAGGTCTTCACCAGAGAGAACGTGTGATTTGATTCTTGAGGAAGTTATCAGGTGTCCAAGGTGGGAGCATTCAGGCAAAGAAATCAGTTTGTCTAAAGACACAGATGTGTGAGAAGTGTCAATGAATTTAATTTTGTGGGAGTATGGGTTTCTTGTCAGATGGTGAGAGATGAAGTTGGAAAGGCAGATTATGGGGGATCCCTGGGTGGCGCAGCGGTTTAGCGCCTGCCTTTGGCCCAGGGCACGATCCTGGAGACCCGGGATCGAATCCCACGCTGGGCTCCCAGTGCATGGAGCCTGCTTCTCCCGCTGCCTATGTCTCTGCCTCTCTCTCTCTCTGTGTGTGTGACTATCATAAATAAAAAAAAAGGAAAGGCAGATTATGGATTATGATAAGGAGCTGATATTTTGTCTTCTGGAATTCATGGGGCCAGACAGGTAAGGTAAAGAAATATGTGATAAGGGCAGTAATGGACACTGGAGGAAAGAGGTAGGGATGACTGTGTGGAACTGGATTGTTTGCACTTGTTTCGGTTCTAGCTGACTGTAGCCATATGGGAATGTGGGTTCAGTGTTAGCAGGTTTTTTTATTTTTCTTTTAGAGATACAAGCAGGAAATCTGATTTTTTTTTATGTGAAATGTCCTGATTTCTAAATGCTGGTAATTAATTTTTTTATTCAAAGTTTTAGCCAATACTGCACCAGACATAACACATCTGTTTGTTGGATGTGGCCTGTAGGCTGTCTATTTGAGACCTATGCTGTAGGAGATGGGGTGTTTATGAAAGCATAGAAGTGAACTGAAGTAACACTTCAAAACACTTTTCAAAAATAACCATGCATATCCCTCACTGGATGGCTCCATTTCAACATACCTACTGCATATGAAAACACATGTTCTTTCTCTGGGGAACCAAAAAGGGATTCTAGGTCAAAGTGACTTGCAGGTCTTCTGAGGGCAATGGTGCCACCCAGGATCTCAGTCTGGCTGTTAAAAGCCTGGTAGAAGAGGGTAAGCTGAGACCAGTAAGGCCTGCGAGGACCACTACCAGGAGATAGCTATTACTTGTTTCCTTTTCACTTTAAGGAAATCAGGGGTAGTCTCTTTGAATTGTATATACAACCAAATCAACATAGCCAGCAATAACACAGACAAAACATGTTATAGCTGTTCAAGTCCAAACTCCTCATTTTACAGTTGGAGAAACTAATGTTTCTGGCCAAAAAGTCACTGGCCAAAAAAGTGAGTTGCTCAGAGTGATCCGGCAAACCAGTGGTAGGGTCAGGCCTACTGATTCCTAGACTTAACATTCTTTCTAATAATCTTATGCTGTGATAATTAAGGTAAATCGGCTCCATAGTTCCCCTAGCACCAGGAATTCCTAGACAGAAGAAGCAGGACTTGAAATTAGCTTAGCCGGTAAGTGCCCTTTTAAATCTTCTCATGGGCATGGTGATGATATTCTTTGCAAACTTTATACTTCATGGGTAAGGGCCAACGAGGGGACAAATAGATCTTTCTGAAGCACTGAGGTCATTCACAGAGTATCCGGAAGACAAGTTGGCTGTGGCTAATATATGTAAGGTTTATGACCCCTGTGCTTTTTGGACTGACCTTTCCAGTGCATGTTTTGCTTTTGCTTCACAGTTTCTTTTCTATATCTCCCTATTCTTCTTCTTTCCCATCAGCCTAGGTCTCAGGCCTACCCTTGACAAGTCAATTAAACTGCTAATTATTTATAGCATGGGAATAGGAGTACGTAGTGACCAAGAAGCACACATATTTCCCCTGCTATGGTCATTTAGCTCTCTATAATCTCAGACTAGTAACTCTTGTTGATTGTGACTCGACTAATCCTTTCCATACTTCATTTCAGGGTCTATTGTTCTGACATTTGTCTTTTTTTTTTTTTTTTGGTTTTTGCTCTAAAACTTTTTCTCATTGGTTCAGCTGTTGAAGATGCTGCAGTTGCAGCAGTGTACATCTGGAACAGTTGGCTGACTTGTTGAACTTCCCCCAGGGACTACTCCAGGGAGAGGAGGGGAGGGGAGAGGTGGAGAGGCCAGAACAGTTGCCTACAAACAGAGATGCCAGTATTGCCTGGCCGTTCTGTGGACCACCCTTGTAAAAATGCACCTCACCTGGTCCTCAATATCCCCATTTATTCATTGAAGGCACATATTCTCTGCTCAAAACTGGTTGCAGAGGCAGGCGAGAAACTCCTGCGGCTGTGGATTATCTCATACAGCACTTTCTGCATTGTAAAGGGACCCACACATATTTGTTTAATTAATTAATAGATCAAGAAATCTCAGGAGACTGTTTGAACCTGCATGGGGCAACATCACCTCAGCTCCACCTGGCTTACGTGCACTTCTTGGCCACTTAGATTGAGGCTCGAGACTCCCTCCAGGAGTGGGGCTGCCTCATTTCCACCCCAATCTCACTCCCTTTGGCTCCCAGGCTCCTGGGTTTCCTTTTTCTTTTGGCGCGCCACAGGATTGCAAACACTGCAGGCATGGTTTCTTTCCAAACCAAGAACTGTTTTAATTAGTTTAACGTCTGTTAAACGCTTTGAAGATTGAAAGCAACAGATAAGTACTGGATGATGTTATTAACAACTGCAGTTAATTGCAAACATTTCTATTAATTCTAGGTTCTGCCTCCTTTTCTTTGCTCCACTTTCTTTCCAAGGTTCCCAAATTATTCTCGGCCTCCCCCTTCTTCCCTTCTCCTGCCGGTTTGGACGGTAGGGGGTTAAATTGGGGCGGAGTCCAGGGATGAAAGACAGCGGCGGTCACCAACTGGAACAGGCGCAAGCGGGAAGAACTGGGTGGGGCAGTCAGGCAGAGGCGAACCCCCACGCCCCCAGGCCCCGCCCAGTGGCTGGAGGCCCAGGGTGGAATGGCAGGGGGCGGAGCGCCAAGGGCTGGCTGGCCGGTGGTTGGGCGTTCGAGCAGCCGCCCGGGGGGATGGGGCGGGGTCGGCTTGGGCCACCTCCTTCATTCTCCCCTCAGGCCGAGCCGCCCCTCTCCCCTGTCCCTCCTCCTCCCTTTCCCACCCCTCTGAGTGGAGCTGCACATGCGGCAGCTCCCTGCTCCGTTCCGCCCAGCCTCCGTTGCTTTGGAACGGGTGCCTGCAGCCCCTAACCGATGGCAGGGCAGTAGCTGCCTGTCAGGGGTCCTGAACGGCTGAGGCAGACGCGGAGGCTCCAGGGCCTCAGAGAGTGGGTGTCTCCGGAGGCCATGGGCTACCCAGAGGTAGAGCGCCGGGAACCTCTGCCCACAGCAGCGCCGCGGGAGCGGGGGAGCCAGGGCTGCGGCTGTCGCGGGGCCCCTGCCCAGGCGGGTGAAGGGAACAGCTGCCGTCTCTTCCTGGGTTTCTTTGGCCTCTCGCTGGCCCTCCACCTGCTGACGTTGTGCTGCTACCTAGAGTTGCGCTCCGAGTTGCGGCGGGAACGGGGAGCCGAGTCCCGCCTTGGCCCCGGCACCCCTGGCACCCTGAACAACCCCGGTGGCCTCGACCCTGACGGTCCCATCACTCGCGACTCCGGGCAGCCATCACCTCAGCAGCAGCCGCTGGAACCAGAAGAAACCACACTCCCCCCACACTCCCAGGACGGGCACCAGGTGAGTCACCTAGTAGGGGCGGCGGCGGCGGCGGAGGCCCCCTTCCCTTGTGGGCAGGGCGGGAGCCCTCCCCCACAGGGCCCTGGGGAGGACTCTGCCACCTCCAGCCAAGTTGCAGGGCCGGACCGGGGAGGAGGCAGGCGAGCCGGGGAGAGGTTGCCCCGGGGCAGGTTGCCCTCGGTCCTGGTCTAGTTCCCCCAGACTCTCTCAGGACCCCTGGACTTGGGAACCCTGGCAGGCGCCCGCCGCCCCCAGCTACCAGCTGCCTTGGGGAAAGTTGGCGGCTCTCCCGGCCGCGGAGGTGCGGACGCTGCCCCTCTGGAGGACTAACGGCAGCAGCTTAGCCCTTCTACTCCTGGTGAGATTCTCTGCCCGCGGTGCTTGTTTTTTCGTGTCCAGAGCTGATGCCAGCACGAGCAGGCTCTCCTTTGGAGTTGGAGCGGTAAACGGCTGTAATAACTGCTCCACAGTTGAAACGACTTTTAATCGTATATTTAGCGCGGGTCTTTGTACGCTGACCACAACGTGGGCTTGGTCACACTTACCTGCAATTTGAGACTGATTGTCCTCAGTGTTCTAGTGAGGATCAGCGCCCCGGTGGAATTCTGGTAGAAGTATGCCGTCTTGCTAGACAACTTTTGAACAGCAATTTAAAAAATCTATGAAAATAAAACTCACCCTTTGCATGCCGGTTCTGACTCTTGGGGGTGGGGGTGTGGATAGGGTAAGTGTGAAGTCTCTTCACTACTGCTAGTTCCAGAACAGGAATCCACTGATGGTATAATGAATTACTCAAGAGTAATCTTTCAAGAGCAGTTTTCGTTTTGTTTTGCAGTCTTTATGGTTGGCAAACTATTAGCTTTGGTGATTGTCTTCCACTTTTTCAGCTCTTTATTCAACTAACTTTAGTGCACTTAAAATAAGTATTCTCTTAACTGCCCTATTTTGTCATGTGAAATTTAAAAGAGGCAAGTGTAAGAGAATCTTTTTGAGGTGGTTAGAGAATAATAGTGAATTTGTTACTTTTGGGGAGGAGGACAAGTTGTGCCAATAAGTTTCTTGAAATGAGGGACCCCGGATTTCTATATTTACTACCACATTCAGAGTCATTGTCATACTCTGTAAACATCATTTGTGCTCTTTGACTACCCATCCAAAGCTGGCATCACATTCATGACGAAACTGTAATGTTGGGACTGGCATATATTCTACATTGTGCATTGTAAAATTACCCTGAGCCTAAAAATGTCTTGCTAGCACACTCCAACATACTTATATAACAGCTTATCAAAGAAGAGAATCAGTAGACATGCTTCTCATACTTGAAACTTTAAACACTGTAGCTAAATGATAATTAACTAGGATTCTGGCTCCCTTTATCTATCCACCCCCACCCCCACAATGCCCAGCAGAAATACTTAACAGCTGAACATTGATATTCTGTGAAAAGATGAAGTAATTGAACTTCCTTAGTCAAATGGTAGCCAACCCTTTTCAGTATTTAGGATGGACAGACCTATGTTTATAGACTGAGGATTATAGCAGGACAGCTGCACTCTTCTGTGGTGGTATGGGGCTCTCACTGGTCTACAATGGCATTTAGTTGCCTATTGTTTGCATGGCACTTCAAATAGTTCTGTCTAGATTTACATACAGCTCCCCATTTTCTGTCCTTTACTTCTGTTTTAATCTTTTTTGAGCAATCACGACAAGCAAACTGGCTCTTTAGATTTGCTGGCATCAATTGGAGTCAGACACTTTTACAATTGTAAGGGGCCATATGAGTCCATTTTGTTTGATCTCCTTGGATAGCACATAGGTCCTGAGGGAGGGGAATGATTTATCCAAGGTCATCTACAACTATGGTCAAGGGTAGATGGGAAGTTGGCCTCTTGACTCCCAGTTCAAGAAAGTTCATTTGTTCCCCTATAGCAGGCAACTCCTGGAACTTTTGGGAGAAAGTGGGATGGAGCTCCGTAGTACAATTCTTGCAATGTACAGGGCTCAGGTTTGCATCAATTTCTTTTAATCTACCTGTATTTTGGCCAGACTAAGTTTAACATGTATCTTTACTCTTCCTCACTGTTACTTTCAGGAGAATTGAAGTACACTTTCAAGGAATTTTAGCCCAGATTCAAATTATGTTTCTCTTGAGAATATTAGTTTTACTATACCCACTCTCTCCACCCCCAAAAGTTTGGCTATTAGACTTAAATTGATATGGCTAGATCTTGGGTAAAATTTCTAGTGCCCTGGTGCACCCTCTGCTGGCTTTGCAGGGACATTTAATTGCAGTATCTGCTGACAGTCAAGATTCGAAGTTGTGCTGACAGATTCTGATTCATAAACAAGGAAGTAAACAGCCTTGTGGGATTTGGCCACGTAGGTCATATTTTTATATTTTAGTTTTTCAACACAAACAGCTGCTGTTACAGCAACTCTTAGATGGAGAGGAAGAAAGATAAAAATATACACCCTTCAGTGGGCAGAATATTCAGGTTTCTCACCAGTTTGTTTGCAAGGAATAAAGACAAACTGATGAGAATAAATTGCAGAAAGATCTCATGAGACCAAGTGGGCAAAGCAGAGTCAGTTCATTATATAAGGCTATACAAACCTATCCGTGTTTATGAGATGATGAGCTCAGTTGGAACTCTAGAAAGGGATCTAGAGATCACTGAAGAGTTTCACTTGTATCCCTCAATTTAAAAACATTTAAAACAAGATAGAGAAAGAAATTAGGGCAGTCAGGATATAGCAGAAAGATCAGCAAAGTTCTCCAGGGGAATTGTTAGAAAAGCCTCCCCAGTAGGGACATTGTTAATGATAAAAAGTGAGAGGGTCACCTCAGATCTTTTGGAATCATAACTGTCTCCTTCAGCTGGAGTAGCCGAGGAGTACCTGTAGATTAATCTGGCAACTCGTTAGAGATGATATGAAGATCATCAACTTCTGATTTGGACAGTACACAATTTGATTGTTAAAGTAAAAAATGAAAGTCACTCTTGATCATTCTATAAAGAAATTAGCCCAGTTGTGTTTATGGTCCTCAAAGCCAATAATATGGTAGACATCAGCAGGATGGATGTTGAAAATAATGACAAAACAAAACCCTTATCTTTTCCACGTAAAAGACCAAGAGTAGATTTGCATCCATAATCATATAGAAAATTCTGGTCGCTGCTCCTCAAGAAAAACCTAACAGCTGATAAAAGCCCTTAGAAACCCAATTAAATTGATCAAAAGTATAGAGAGATTTTCTAGTTTTTTTTCCCAGTCTGGAGAGAGAGAGGGGTTAAAGGAGGGATATGATCAAAGTCTACAAAACCATGAGAGAGATGAATAAGGTTAATATATTAATATAATGTAACAATTTAGCTCAATAAATAGCCTGACTCAGCCCGACACTATGTTAGGTATTAGATATCTTTTAATAGTTAAAAGATTCTTTTGGAAGAGAGGCAAGTAAAGGTAGTAGTATCTCATTCAAATGATTGCCTAAGAGATAATCTAAATTGGAACTCTAAGATTTAGGAAGAGTTTAGGAAAATAGAACTGGGTAGATTAATGAGAATTTATTTGAGACTATTGGGGATATTTGGAAAATGTTCCTAATTATTTGAGGTGATGACCTAGAAATCAACTTTTTTTTTCACAAAACATCTCTTGGTTTAAACTATAGATAGGACATTAGTATATACTGATTTTACATTGCTTGTTAAGGCTGGTTGATCAAGAAAATGACTAGGAGTCATTAAATCCAATAATTTTTTTTAGAGGAATGGGATCCAGATGAAACAGCCTTCTATAGGGTTTAAATCTAGTGTTTTCAGTGTGACATTGAAGGCTTTTGATCGACTGGCTCCATTATACCTATCGCATTTTCTCTCTCACTAATTCTACTCCTGCAACGCACCCACCATACCCTGTCTTGGGATCATTCTATAGTTATTGTTGCTGTTTTTCGTTTAATAACTCTTGTGTCTTTATATAGAACTCCTCAGAAATCTGCCTTCTTTTTCTTTGTCTTGTTCCACAGTACTAATTCAATGCTAGTTATAGTTAAGGGACTTAAATACTTGCTGAATTAAATATCATTTTGGGCCTTTGGAGATATTCCTGTGAAACAAAGACATTTTCTCTGTATGTAACAAGCCTGCTTTCCTTAAATCTTGCTAAGCCTGTGTCAGCTATGCTTAGGTGAGTAAATTGTTCCACTGGCAACGTTTCACTGGTTTCTAGAGTTATTAAAAAGTGAAATAGAGAGGAGCCCTAACCACATTACCTTTAAAATGATGTAAAAAAGCTTTCTGTAATACATCATTTGATGTTTTGTTTTATTTTGTATCTAAGTCTCATCTCGTTCTCAGATTTTGTGAAAAAATAATCTATAATTTATCTGTAAATACCTTACAGGGAAGATCTCTTTATAATAGAGAAGCCATTAAATACCCAAGAACATTACCAAGAAAACTGTTTGCCTTGCTTGTTAGGGTGGCCCTCATAGAGGACCGACTTTATATCTGTTGTACTTAGTTGTTCATCTTCCCCCCTCACTTTTCTATTGAAGTATTGCATACATACAGAAGAGGTGACAAATCTTAATTGTGCAATTTGATGAATTATTACACAGTGAACACACTAATGTTACCAGAACCTAGGTCAAGAAGTAGAACTAGCCAGGTGCCTGGGTGGCTCAGGTCATGATCTCCAAGTCCTGGGATGGAGTCCCACATCAGGCTCCAGGCTCAGTGGGGAGTCTGCTTCTCCTTCTCCCTCTGCCTCTCCCCCTGCTCATGCGCACTCTTTCTCTGTATCTCTCTGTCTCAAATGAATAAATACAATATTTTTTAAAATTTAAAAAAGGAAATAGAACTAGCATCTCCTAATCCCCGCATTATGCTCCATTCTTATCACTGTACCTTCTCCCTCCAAAGTTAATGATTATCTTGACTTTTAACATCATAGGTTAGTTCTACCTATTTTGAAACTGATATAAA